AGGTGTCAGCGCGCTGGCTTGATCACTCATTCAAGGTTAGACGTGGGTAAAGGACAGGGCTGTCACCTTATCTTGGCCTTTGTATAACTTAGGTAGACGACAGCAGTTTCACGACTTGGGCCTATATGTACTAGTCCCAGGCTTGGCTGATAGGGTATGCGAAGCGAAATACAAGTCTGAATTCGACGCGGCTCTCAAGCCTTGCAAACGGCTTGCGATGGCGGAGAGGTAGCTATTCAGGTATTATTCAACCCAAAGCCCTTTACAGATACCATACTGAGATAGGCCAGTAAAGTTCGACTCAGTTACTAGGTATTTGGGATGGGATATAAAAAATAGACTGAGACGTGGCTTTCAGCGCTATATTCCGTGTTAGTGTTCCAAAGACAACTTGAAGTGTTTTATGGTAGATTGGGGAGGCAGTCAACTGTAAACACAGAATTTGAGGCCGGATTGAAGAGGCATCGCCATCGTGCGGAATACATTATGCAGCTATCGGGGCCGTCTCGGCGGCTCCCGCTGCTGTTGGCAGGCACACGCAGGTTTATTTTACTTTGTCTCACTAACCATATATAGAAGTAATTATCTACATTTTGGTGTTGAAGTTGTACGTAAAAGCATTAGCGCATTGGTCAGTGCAAGCGTAATTAAGCACTGCAGCGCATCAATTAATCCATAGTAGAGCTACGTCACCAAAACAAAGCACACATATCAAATCACCAAAGGCCGCCTTCACCTTTATTAGTAGAGACACGTATACCACTTACACCCTCTTCCGACGCGCAAACAATCGAATGAAGCGCCATTATCTCTCACGAGAGATTGGAAGACGTCGAAACTGATAACTAAAGTGAAAAGATCCAAGAGAAGCCTAAGAAATGATAAGGTCAACACAAATAGCCCGGATGGGCGACGGTTCGTCAACCCCCGACTTGCTTATACCCACACTCAGGAGAGCAAAAGACCAAAACGAAACAACGAGAAAAAAGCCATTGGGCAATACCCAGAGCTAACTCATCCTTCGCCAGGCTTGATGCTGTGCGCATCCGTCGACGATGAACAGAGCGAGCCCTCTCTGGCCGAAGTCAAGTCCCAGATCAGGCTGATCCTCCGGAGGCTAAACCGCAACGCAGAGCAACAAGCCAGCATCGAGAGCGGGAACTACACATTACAGTATGATGAGCTCTCTCTAATCTGAAACCTTTCTTCCTTTAAAACCCCTAATATCCTAGCTAACGCAAAGCTAACTTGTCTCCCCCTTTTCCGCGCACAGCTACCAAATCGTAAACGACATCGTATTCGTCTGCATCTGCGAGCGCTCGTACCCGCGCAAGCTGGCCTTCACCTACCTCTCTGACCTATCCGCCGAGTTCTCGAACTCGTACTCCGCGAACCAGCTGAACAGCCCCTCGCTGCGGCCGTACGCCTTCATGGAGTTCGACACCTTCATCAGCCGCACCAAGGCGACGTACGCCGACGCCCGCGCGACGCAGAACCTCGGTAAGCTTAACGACGAGCTGCGCGACGTCACCAAGGTCATGACCAAGAACATCGAGGACCTGCTGTACCGCGGCGACAGCCTCGAGCGCATGGGCGAGCTCAGCTCACGCCTGCGCGACGATAGCAAGAAGTACCGCAAGGCCGCCGTCAAGATCAATTGGGACCTGCTGCTGAAGCAGTACGCCCCCATAGGCGGATTCGTGCTCATCGTCCTGCTGTTTATCTGGTTCCGCTTCTTCTGACGGGGCGGCGTGCCCATTGTAGATAGAAGAGACGAGACGGCAAAGGGGGGGAAATTGTGGGTGGCGCACAATTCAGCCCCGGGGGTGGTAATGTGATCCCGTGAGGGTCGAGGGTGCATAATCGAAGCAAATATCATCGAAATTTAGAGTCAACCCGTACCCTCATACTTGGTATCTAGTGTAAAAGCGGTCGATGCGGCTGGTTGTTTTAATACCCCTTATTTCACGTGCGAGAACATGATACCCGAGATACCAAATCATAACTGATACAGATGTAAAATATATACGAAGGACTTCTTCCACATCGACGACTCCCACAAAAAAAACAAATTCTTTTGAACTACCATATGACCACCCATGTGAGATCGCTCCTCGCGTCCGCGAGCTGGCACAACCCGGCCGACCAAAAACGCCTTGCTGTCTTCCCACTGAGGGGGGCAAAAAATTCTAATGTATACACACAAGTCAAAAACCCAGACATGGTATCTTGATCTCCAACGGCTGCGGAATCCGTTTCGATGGGGGGAATAAAGGAGGTCGCGTCATAAATAAATCATATCACATTCACGCCGTAAGTCCACGCGCGGGTAATCACACCCGTGGGACTTTATACGCACTCTCTTGCTACAAACGGACACACCTGCTCTGCACTCACTCATTAGCCTCCCTACATGACCGCACACTTCGAAGACTCGGGGGCAACGTTGGCGAGGCCGGGTATCAGGCTGCGGTGGGTCCACTCGAGGTGTTCCTGTAGCATGGCGACGGACTCGAATCCACGCTCGTCCTGCGTGTACCGCAGGCGATCCATGTCGCCGTCGCCCTGCTCCTCGTAGTAGTACTCCTCGCAGAGCGGGCAGAGCAGCGGGGCCTGCCACTCACCCGGTTCGGGCGGGAGGTGGTTCGCGATGGCGACGGGTGCGAAAATGATAGTCTTCTCGTCGCCTTTTTGCTCCGTCTCCGTCTCTGCCTGCGGCACGCGCTCTCTTGTCTGGCTTGGTGGAATTTCGAAACTTGAATTCCCGCTTCCCTCTTCGAGCTCAATGTCTGGGTCTTGCTCTGTGGCGGAGGGCATCCTGTGAGGGTGGGTGAACCCTATCGCGGACCAATTCTCGCTTACGTTTCCTAAGGATGAAGTGGTGTGTTGCCGTGTGCTGGGCATTGAACGTAGGTCCTCCCATACTATAAATCCGTCGCAGAAGTTGCAGACGAAGGCCATGTCCCGGTTCCCGGGCCCCAGGCGTTGAAACACACCCGTTGAGTTGCATGCGGCGACCTCACCACTGCTCGCTGGGTCTGGCTGTTCCTCTGAGGTCGATGTAGTTGTCCTTATGGGAGGAATTTCCCTTCGCGGGTCCTGTTGCCGCCGCTGTGACTGCTGCGTTTGAGGATGGTGAGGATGAGACTCGGGTTGAGAAATACGAGACTGTTGTCGTTGCTGACTCCGCGACACAATTAAAGCGCCCAAACACCGCGGCCGCGAGGAAGATGTTTCTAGGTCGTCGTGGATGCGTCGCACTGCCCGACATTGCGCGCGGTGTAGCTCCCGCCGCAGCCACCGTGTCTTGGCAGCCCATTCGGGTTCTATCGGCCCACCCGCCCGAACCCAGGCTTTGAAATTTTGTGAGTGCTCTGTGAAGTGACCGCACAATTCGCGCAACTCATCAAGACTGTCGGCTGTGATAAGTGGTCAGCTTTGAATGTGTGAGATTGTATCTGGCATGTTGGCTTATGCAGCCCTCGTAGAGTAGATCGGCCCTTAAAGGCGGGGGATGAAGATTGTCTTGTACAGACTCTCATCATTACAGTCACTAAACTGATGACGTGCTTCACCAATATCTGTTTTCTCACGTACGTCGATCTTGCTCTGAGGAGATGAACCAATGCATCAGAGTGCCGGAATTCACACAAATTCGCCTCAGAAAAGCCAGCCCATGATATAACAAGCCAATGCATCAGGGTGACGTAAATTCACGCGAATCCGCATCGCAAAAGCAAATGGGTGGCATAACACATACCCTTACGGTCATTCTGGTAATAGAAGCCTCCGTTGATGAGCGCGGGGAGCTCCTGGAAGTCCTGCTTCGCGTCCTCGAGCGTTTCTTCAAGCAGGCGCAGCTGCTGGAACTCAAGCGAACCCCACGCCCGTTTGTCGGCGAACAGGAGGATACGCAAAGCATCCTGGAGGGAGTATGCTATGATGGCTAGTAGTGATCCCACTGTGTCAACGGTGGCGTCGCCGTCTTCGCTACTCATATCCGTGCATGCACCGGAACGACGAGATTCGTGGCAAGGAAGCCGGCTTGTCGTTTTCTTCACTTCCTCTGCGCTCCCCTTTCACCTTGCTTTCGCCTGCGGGGCTCAATCTCGCTTTTTTTTTTTGGCAGATAGGTATCTCTGATCTGCTCACATCACACATGTTCCGGTAAGGTGCTGATGTGATGGTTTAGGCCCTGTCACGAGCGCACAGTCGCCAATCAACGGCGTCGCGAGATAGACGAGGTTAATATGAACTCCGGAGATCTGGCACCTTCGTATTTGCCTCGCATGGACGAGTCAGGGGGCCAAGTCCAGTCAAGGTGAATACCTATTTGAACAGGTAGATTTTGACCGGATAGCTAGGACTTGAACTTGGACTTGGCAGGTAGCCTGCGGTACCGAGGTAGCATCGTGGAATGCTTTCCCACGCAGGCCCCCAGCCTCCAGGGTGCCTGGTCCTTAGATAAGTGTAGATCCACGCTGTGTAATTCTGGGTAAGTGGCTTGACCGGGCCAGAAACCAGAGCAGACCCCATCTGAGACTTTATATGCACACCCCCCCGGTAACTCGAACCGTCTTCCTACCAACGTCTCCTGCCTCGCAAAGCAGATATTACGTGCATAATGCACGCTGTACATGTAACAAACGTGAACAGGGATCGTACCTAACTGCATATACTCGGTTAGGTTAGGGTGTGTCTACACGTGCAAGGTACCTCGTTATCCAGCGTGTGGCGGTTATAGAACCCTTGCATGCCAGATTCGTGGTCCATGGCGCTTTCACGCCAAACCACGGGCCAAAAATAGAACTTGTGACAGCTCCGTCAGTCGCAAGGCAAACTCCGTAGAAGCAGTCCCGTAATTCAACAACAACCCTATATTCAAAGGAAACGGAAAAGTAATTGTGAAAAAAAAACTAAAAAACTGAAACAAGCACACAAACACTACACGATTATAGCCCGTCATAAGAAGCCTCAAAATCCACTCAAGCAAGCAACGCGATTGGATAGTATAGTGGTTAGTACAATTCGTTGTGGCCGCGATGCACAAACGCATCGGACAAAACACCGAATAGACCCAGGTTCGATTCCTGGTCCAGTCAATTCTATAGAGTTGTTGGATGCTGAGGCCATCATTCTATTTTTTGTTTGTCCCCTCTCAGGACTTCTTCTCTCCTACCAATCTAGCACCGCATGTCTACTAGCGGATGGAGTCGCTGTATAGTAATGCTGGCTTTAAACGCCTTACCATAAGAGAGACATCCGCTTGGCCAAGTCCTATTTTACTCCTCGTATTAGACATGTTTCCTAAATGTAAGCTTAGCCTCCGCGCTCTAGATTACAAATCATAAGAAACTCAAGGGCACCTTATTACACAAGCGGATATCTCCATGCTGTCCCGAGGACACTTGAGTCTGGATTAAATGGATGCTCGGGTGCTATTCGTCAAACCAGCGTGATGCCTTTTTGCTGCCTATCTCTCTATACTGATATGATATATACATAAACAGCGAAAACTACGCCGCCGAGAGATCGATTACTTCCTCTTCTTCGCCCCACCCGTGTTTCTACCGCTCACCTTAACTTCATCTCCGGCCGGTTCGGACACTACGGCATCGGCCTTGGGCAAAGCCTTGGCTTCCGCCTTGGCCTCTACCGACGGCTCATCATCCTCACCGCCCTGGCCGAATTCGTTGACACGGGTGTAGTCGACCTTGTATACCCAGCGCTGGTACAAGTAAATGAAGAAGATGACGTCGTCTCGTAGGGTAGCGAGACGGTGGAGGAATGGCATCTTGATAGTAAAGGCGAAGAGATCGTCGATGAATGTGTTGAGAAACTTGTACATCATCGCCTTTCCGGGCATATGAGCAACGCTCTTGAGGCGGTAATTGATGTATAGCGAAGGGACCATCATCAGGAAGCCATAGGCATAGACGGAGCCGACAAGTGTGGTGATGATGTACGAGTACCAGGACTTGTGTGACTCGTAATACAACGAATAGATCGCATAGCCGATCAATAGAGGTACGCCGCCCACATACATGTACTTGAAGGCGATTTCGTCGTACTCCTTGGTCTTCTCCTCCGTCTCGCTCAGTTTGTATTTGTCCTCGAATGCGATACGGTACGGGAAAAGCGAACCTGGCGGTGCAGGGCGCACCCTCACATTGACGATAGTAGTGATCTTCCAGAATTCGATGAGTATACCAACACCTTGAGAACCTAAAATCATCCAGCTCGTGTTTTGCGAGTTGTCAACCAAGTAAAGGAAGATAACGGCTTGCATGAAGACGTTCGCCAGGATTGAACGCACGGATATACCGACGTTGTCCTTCTTTTTCCGATAATGGGCAATGTCGGAACCGAATGCGAGTGTTTCCAGGATCAAATGGGCAACACTGACAGCAGCAGTAACACCTAGAAGCCACGGATTAGTATCTAGGAGGATTTCCTTGATTAGCTCGATTTCGCTGCCATCACTACCGCCGGGTAGAGAGCCGCCAAAGGCAGCCTGACGAGCCTGTTGTTTCGTATTAAGGTCCATGTTGGCCATGAGATTGAATTGCCAATTCTTTAGGTTGCCAAGATCAAGGCGCAAGGGAAGCGTCTTGACCGTGTCGTTAACGAGAGTCATGTGGGTTTTCATTTGCCAAAACTGGTTGACAAACAAAACAGGGTCTGAAGGGCATTAGATCGAGCAAACGTGAATTGCCTTTAGTGTCTTGCGTAACTTACAATACCACGAGTTCTGGCCAGTACCGTCCCGAGAACCCCTCGACTATACTCTATTAGCGGGATAAAGTGACAAGCAATCCTTGGAATCTTACCTCGAGCAGTACGAACTGTTGAACAGCTGGAGCGAGTTCGGGAAATTTCATTATTCCCGTGTCGGGGATAAAAGATAAACTTGTGTTCGGATGATAGTAGTTGGCGATAATGGGGCCAGTTTCCTCTTCTTCTGGCTCACCCACGGGCTCGACTTTGTCTTCAAGCAGGTTTCTTGTTTTGGCTTCCTTCTTCCTGGGAAGATACTGAGTGAGAGGATATGCGAAATGTACCGCTTTACCTGGGTCAAAGTTGGGTTCTTTTGGGTCCAGGTTGGAACCTGTGAGTCCAAAATAGAAATGTCCCCAGAGCGTTCCGTTATTCTGTACAGTTGCGGGGACGTCAAAGAGAGTCTCAGCAGTCCGCCTATCACTAGAATTGCCTATTTGGAAACCAGTCTCCCTCAAAGCAACCATCTCCTTGGGGAGGCTTGCGATTTTGGTTGGAACATAACTCGAAGACAGGGTGACTATAATATCAATGGGGCTATCGACTGGCCAGATAGGGGCCAGTCGCTGTGGGACACGGCTATAGGTGGCGCCCGGATCCAAGGTAGCCGGCCGAAGATCATAGGCAGGGATATCGCCGGTGTTGGCGGGTATCTGCACAATGTCCCCATCGGGGCCTTTGGTCGTGGCCGTCTGCGGCTGGTTGCCGCCACCGATGAACTGCTTCATGAGCAATTGAATGCCGAACCACATCAGGACACCTTGTATGATTTTGGAAAAGAAGGATGTCTGCAGGCAGGAGAAACATAGTCAGCTTTGGAATAATCCCCTAGCGCTACACAAGACTATGGCCATTGCACAACGTACGCCTTGGTCTCTTGCGCCCCCATCGCCCGCCGGCGGGGGTCCGTTCGATTCCGGCATCTTGACGACGACGGATCCCTCGCTCAGGCGTGTAGCAGGAACTTGTTCGCGGGAATTCGGACCTAGCTGGAAAGGAGAGGAATCAAGTGAAAAGACAGGGAAGACAACCGGCGCGAATCGTTAGAGGAGCTGAGGCCGGCTTTCAAGCTCCCTGAAAGTCCGATACGTGTTCAGTAATGAGAGAGACTCGAGTATGTGGTGGGTAATGTAGTGTACCTGTCCATGCTCAATAAAATCAATGGGCATAGGTAGACGGGACGAGGCCTTATCGATAGGCGGCCAGAGACATCCATTGTATCGATAGTTACCGTTAGGTGCATAATTACGCAATCTCCAGTCTAACTATCCACCTGATAGGCGGCAAGTTAGACGCCTCCCGAGGTCCCTTCCATCCGAAGGTATCCATCCAGTCGAGGCAGGTACGATTCACGAATACCTCCGGCACTGCCTGCAACTGCCATACAACACCGATCAGACGAATCACAGCCCGTGAACGGCCCATGGGGTGCCCGCGCCTGTCCGCAACCACTCCCGACTCCCGCCAATTTATTACTAATAATAATTGCGCCCGACCCGGCAGCCGGTACGGGTACAGGGTACAGGGGCCTTCAAGCCGGTACCTGAAGTGAATAGATTAGGTAATAATTGACAGAAGTCGGGCTTATTGTGAGTCAGCGCGGCCTGTGATAGGTTGTCGACTGATGTCGGCCCTCGTACCCTTCCGAATATCTTGGCACCGTTCTTCTTCTACTTGCCTTGTAATCTTGGAGTGTTGTCTATGCTGTTTCTCATGCGTGTCACTCATTTCGATCTTCTCTCGATCCTGATCTGATCTGTCTGTCACCGTTGTGCGTGCATTAGCCACCGCATTCTAAGACATCACGTTTTCACGCCTTCTCCCGTTCTTTCTCAAGCTCAGCTGCCCCGTGACCCCGTCGCCCTCTCGACAGTCAAAATCGACGCGGCCGCCCTCTTTTTTTCCTTCCCTTTTCTTTCTTCTTTTTTTCCTTCTGTCTTTTAGATCTGAGTTGCCGAAGTCAGTCACATCTCGCAATGGAATCTGGTGGCGCATCTCCTATGCCCCTTTCCGTCCCGGAATCACAGGCCTCGACACCCTCCATGCCTAGTCCAGCTACAACAATGCCGCAGACCAAAATCTGTGTCTACTGCGGTTCCTCGTCCGGCAAGGATACCAAGCATCTCGAAGCTGCACGCGCCTTAGGCAAGGCCATGGCCGAGAGAAACATCGCATTAGGTAAGTCATCAGCAAGATAGCTTACCATGTTATTTCGTCCATTCTAGGAGCTAATCTGTGCCCCTTCCTTTAGTGTATGGTGGTGGCACGGTGGGACTCATGGGTGAAGTTGCCAAAGCCATTGTCTCTGTGAACGGCCCAAGCGCCGTTCACGGCATTATCCCAGAGGCCCTTGTGAAATGGGAGCGCGATGGCACCTATGCAGAAAAGAAGGATGCCAACGGATATCATGTCCCCGAGGAGAGCATTTATGGACATACCACGGTGGTCAAAGACATGCACACACGCAAGCGCATGATGGCACAAGAGGTACTGGAGGGAGGACCAGGCTCAGGCTTTATAGCACTGAGCGGCGGCTTCGGCACCATGGAGGAGCTCCTTGAGACGGCAACCTGGAACCAGCTCGGCATCCACAGCAACGGCGTGTGTGTGCTCAACATCGACGGCTTCTATGACGGACTGTTAGACTGGATACGCAAATCTACTAACGAGGGATTCCTCAAGCCCGCCAATGCCGAGATCATAGTTACCGCCACAACCGCCGAGGGAGCGATTGAGGCACTGCGGGATTATAAGGTCTCGAATGACCGATATTACGGCCTAGATTGGAATCAACAATAGAAGACACGGCATATCTATACATAAGAGGTCATGGTAGTCAAGATGGTGGCACCTATCTCTCAATTATGTATTGCGTGTTCGATTCCAATGCAACCCCAACTCTTCTCTCGGCTTTGAGGGTGGAGGTGCGCGAATAATGATGTCGCAAGGGGGGCGAAACAGGGTTGTTTGGCTCGAGACACATCATGTGCCCGTTAACTATGTACAGTAATTGGGTGTAATGAGAGATGAGGTGCCGTCGAGTTGAGTTCCTGTACAATAACTACTATAAGTCGTATTCCAGCACTCTACACAACGACTTCCGGCTAGCTATTCGCAGCACCCCTGATCAGTTTATGCTGTCTCTCTACTGCGAGAAGAAACTATGTATAATAAATGGACCGATTGCTACCACGGACTGAACCGCGATGAGATCCTACTTGAGAGAAGAGCAAGAAGAATGCGTGAGTGAGAGATGGCAGATGGCGTTATTAAAGATGTGTCGCACCGGCTTGGGTGCGTGACGCCAAGCACGTGTGAGGGTAAT